GCAAATGATCTAAATGACAAATGATAAATGATCAAGATCATTTAAGATCATTTAAATCATTTGTTATTTAGTCATTTACTTTTATAAAATTTAGCGATACTCTTAAAGAATCGCAAATTCTTAGCAAGTTTTGCAATTTTATCTCCTAATGATAAAGAATCATTTTAAAGGATGATAGAAGGATCATTCCGGTAAAACGATACAAGAATTGTTCTAAAGAAATGATTAAAGGTATCATTTCTCAAGAATGATAAAAGATCATTCTATTGGAATGATACAAAAAATCGTTCCAATAGAACGATAAAGATCGTTCTAAAGGAATAATACAAAAAAATCATTCCTTAAGAATGATAAAAGGTTGTTTTATCAGAACGATACAAAAAATCATTCCAATAGGATGATAAAGATCGTTCTAAAGGAGCGATATAAAAAAATTGTTCCAATAGAATGATAAATCATTGTTCTATTAGAACGATAAAAAAATCATTTCAATAGAATGATAAATCATTGTTCTAAAGGAACGATAAAAAAATCATTCCAATAGAATGATAAAAGGTCATTCTAAAGGAACGATACAAAAAATCATTCTAATAGGACGATAAAGATCATTCTAAAGGAAAAATATAAAAAAATCATTCCTTAAGAATGATAAAAGGTCGTTCTAAAGGAATGATAAAAAAATCGTTCCAATAGAATGATACTACATCGTTCTAAAGGAATGATACAAAAAATCATTTCAATAGGAAAATAAAGATCGTTCTAAAGGAACGATACAGAAAAATCATTCCAATAGAACAATAAATCATCATTCTATCAGAATGATAATAAAAATCGTTCTTTAAAAATGATAAAAGTTTGTTCTAAAGGAATGATAAAAAAATCATTCTAATAGAATGATACTACATTGTTTTAAAGAAACGATACAAAAAATCATTCCAATAGGATGATAAAGATCGTTCTAAAGGAACAATACAAAAAATCATTCCAATAGAACGATAAATTATTGTTTTATCAGAACGATAAAAAAATCATTCTTTAAGAACAATAAAAAAATTGTTCTAATAGAATGATACTATATCATTCTAAAGGAATGATACAAAAAATCATTCCAATAGGATGATAAAGATCGTTCTAAAGGAACAATACAAAAAAATTGTTCCTTAAAAATGATAAAAAAATCATTCTAATAGGGCAATACTATATCATTCTAAAGGAATGATACAAAAAATTGTTCTAATAGAATGATAAAGATCATTCTAAAGAAACAATACAAAAAAATCATTCCTTAAAAATGATACTACATCGTTCTTTTAGAACGATTCTTCTATCGTTCTTTTAGAATGATGCTTTTAATTATTCCTTTAGAATGATTCTTCTATCATTTTATCAGAGCGATATTTTTAATTATTCTTTTGAACAAAACTAAAAAATTGTTCGATTTTTAGCTTGAATTTAACACTTGACTTAACTTTACTGAACTTGTCTGACTCATAATTTGAGTCAACTTGTTTAAATCTCGAATATAATTTAATATACTATTATATACTATATAAAATATTTGCCCAATATGAAATAATTTTTTTTAATATATATAAATTAAATATTTTAATAAATTTAACTTATTTACATTATAATAAACAAATTAAATAATAAAAATTTATAAAATTTGCTATATTTAAAAATTATTGAAATGTCTGGTTATTTGTTATTTGTCATTTGAGTCATTTGGCAGTCATAATCATTTGGCGAACACTGATTTAAGATAATATTTCAAATTAAAATTTAAATAAAAGTTTTAATTAAAATTTTAATTTTTATTTATAATTAAATTTATATTAATAAAAATTAAAATAAATATATATATTATAAATTTATTATATAAATAAAAATTTCTTAAAATATTATTTTTAAAATTAATTAAAAATATTTTTTTTAATAAAATTTTTTTTAAAATTTTTATAATATTATATAAATACTAAAATATTTTAAATTATTTATTATTAAAATTTTATAATATTAATTAAAATTTATTTAAAATGTAATTTAAAAATTAGATGCTTTATAGGATTTTACTATATATTTTTATATTATTTTATTAAAAATCTGATCAATTAATCAATTAGTAAAATATTTATTAATGAATTTAAATTTTAATATTTGTTTATTATTTTGAGATATAAATCTTTTATGAAGTTTTATTTTAAATTCTTATTATTAATATTCAAAAGGTTTTTGATTAAAGATTAAGAAAACTAATTTAAAGAATTAATTTGTGATTTTTTCTATTTAAATATAAATATAATAAAAATATATTATCAAATTAGAGTATTTATTTTTATAAAACTTAATTAAATTAGATTTAAGATTAATATTATCAAAAATACCTAATTAAATATAAAATTTATAATAAGTTTAATCACAAATAATTTAAGTTTAACTTATTAGTTTAGATAGATATATTAATATTTATTTAGGTAAATTTTTAAAAAATTTTCATTTAAAAATTATAGTAATATATATTTTAAGTTATAAAAAATAAGAAGTTATTTAAATCTTAAAAAAATTAAAATAATTAAAGTTAAAAAAATTAAATCTAAATAGGTTGAAACAAATAGACTTATATATAAAATAAACTATATAATATAATTCTTTTATAAGACTTTTTTTTAAAAAATTATATAATATTAATATTTTATATTAAAAATTGTATAAGTTTATATTTCAACTTATTTAAACTTAAATACAAATATTTTAATTAAACCTAAATATAAATTTTATTAAATTAATTTAATTTAGATATTATTTAACTCAATTTGATTTAAAGAAAAATTTATTTTTTATTAAAATAACTTATAGAAGATTAATATTTTATAACTGAATATATAATTTAAAATTATTAAGTATAAATATATAATTTATAATAAAAATTAAAATCAAGTTGTGAATATATGATCATTAATATTATTTTAATAGTAAACTATTAATATATTAATTAAAATATAATAAAATAATAAAATTTATCCTACAGCCAAATAAGATCATGGTTTTTTAAACATGCTGATATTTTTATATTAAACTACAATTGTATAATTATTATTGATATTTTTGACATTATACTAACATAATAGAATAATAGTTTATTTTATTTATAAGCATGATCGTGTGTGACTGCAGGATAATGCAGTTATTTGATTGGGAATTAAATATCATCCGATATTCCCCCTATTAAATAACGTTATTTAATTACCTAATATACAGTATATTTATTATATAATTTATTTTGTTATTTTGGAGTAGCCGATCACCCACATGATCATTTACGGATTTATAAAATCACGCGCGAATTTTGGACCATCACGTGGACACCCTAAATTGTTTGTGACGTGTAGGTCACATGATATTTTCTGTTGCTCAATTCGCTAATTCACAAAATATAAAATTAATATACGAAATGTAATTAAATCGATAACCATTTATTTATTAAAACTGATCTTTTATTAATGATTTACATAAGTATCTTTAATTCACTATGCCAGACTCGGCATCATTCCATCTGTATTTCTAACTATATGATCGAACTAGCGTTCTCATTATATTTAACGTTAAAATTCTATTACGTATGTCACTCGACAAAAATTTGACTTATAAATTATCAATCAAAAGAAATAATGTTAATATGTCATTGATATTTAAAAACTATAAATTGGCTAAAACGATTTAATTAATTTTAATGTGAAAGATCGAGTTAAACACTATTACTAAAGTACATTATTTTAATTTTTTTAAAAAAAAATTGCTTCTTTCTTTAATTAATATTTCACTCGTTTAATTTACTTTACCTCAATTAAAGATGGAACAACCAGTAAATCCTGAAGAATTTCGTAATCGAGTTAAACGATTACTTGAAGCTTTCGTATATGACCATTTGAAAAAAACTGGATGTGATGATACCGCTAAAACTTATTTCCAAGAGGTTGGTCTTGACGATTGGCCTCCTGAATGGTTAAATTTGAACACGAACACATATGTCGAGGAGGTTATTAAAACACAAGAAAATTCAGTTGATAATGAAAGCGTTGAAAGGAGCAAAAGCATAGGAAATCGTGCTAATATTGAGGATGAAATCGAAGAAAATGAACATGAAGAGCGTGCAGAAGATGGTATAATCAAAGGTAATTTATATATATTGAATTTGTAAGTTTTTTTTTTTAAAAAAAAAAACGAAATTAATATGAAGAATTTTTCTTACAGAAGGGTTAGAAGTAAATGAACGAAATAAAGACGAGGGCATAACATCTTCAATTATTGAGAATAAACCCAATGATGAATCCGAAATGTTTATTCTTGGCGGTTTGGATAATGTTATAGACTATACCAATCAAAATTTGGATACGATTTCCATTTCATCTTTTGCTAATATATCGTCTTCTGGATATTTTCCAATAACATCCTCAGTCGATGAGTCTCCTAATATACCATTACCTTTGGACGTTCCAGATGGATTCCTTAACGAATGGTGGTTAATGTTTTGGGAATGTTTTAATAATTTGCGTGAACGTGATTCGAGAATTAATCATGACAGCGATTATTTTGATCAATAATTGCAGGTTGGGTTGATTCAAATACCTATTAAATCTTTCTTGTAGATTTGCAAATTTTTATTTTTTATGCAAGAATCCAACAGTTTCGCGTATTTCATAATATTTAATACTATTTTAGTAAATAATAGTAACAAGTTTCGACATAGCTTTATCACAAGTATCTGGAGAATATGATTATGGTTGAAAAAAATAAAATAACACCGAATTTGAAGTTACTATTTTTACTTTACTTTTATTGTCTAATGTATTTTAACGATGATTTTGCAATATATTTAAAATCATCCAATATTATGTATTTTTTAACCACAAAAAAAAAAAATCTTTTCGTAAAAATAATTGAGCGTCATAAGGACGAACATTCAGAATAAATAAAAGAAAGGTCTGATCCTATTATTCTATTTTATCATTTTTTAAGTCATATCGCATCTTTCGGGATGCAAAGAAAAAAATTGCGTTAATAAACTTTTTTTTTTGAAGTTGAAATTTTCCTAACATTTGATTGAATGAGCTATATTTCTATTTTCAAGATGTAATTTTCCTCCCGCCATTATTAGCAACGTCCTTATTTTCCAATCGTCTTAAATATTACGTATTTATTGTACATGTATTTCTTTGAAATTATTTCTTAAACAAATATGCTTATTACTTTATATAATGAACAAGGAATATTTCGTTTTACAAAGTTGGGAATAAATATAGTTCCACAGAATTTCGTTCCAATAAACATGAAGAAATGATATCTCTATTGGGAATGGCAAATATCTAGATTGCTAATATATATATATATATAAAAAAAATATATATAAATATAAAAGCGATATTTTTATCAAAAAGTGATTTTTATTTTTTTTATTTTTTTTTGTTTTGTCGCGAATTCGAACATGATGCCCAAGATGAATCTCTAAACATGGATTTCCCTTCTGGAATATTGTTAAAATTCTCAACATATTCTCACATGTTATCTCAAACAATAGTTGAAATTTACCATATTATGAACTTTACGGATTGATATACGGAACGGGATAACATGGTGATTTGATCAATAAGTTTTTAGGTAGAGATTCACAATGAAGAGAATCAGAGGGTGGTTAAGTGAGTGATCCATAAAGGAAGTGATTAGGACTTTTTATTTGACCCTTTGAAAACTTCAACTTGCATCGTCTTTCACAAAGGTCTACAATCGGTTATTTACTAAATAAATATCATGTAAACCAGATATGAAAATGCTTGATCGTAAACCATAAATATTGTATTTTATCAAAAAAAATTAATGTCTTGTGATTACCACATGTGCTACTCTATCTGATAAGTAACTATGATACCATGATCGTGGATCCGTTTCATATGCGACGATTAATTATCAGATATTAAAATTTATCATTTTCAAGGGGTAAAAACGGTTTCCGGAATATCTATATTTATATGAATTTTCCAAATGAATGTTTTAAGATTTTTCGTTGGTAAAAAAATAATTTGCTGCGTTGATGTGAGGTCATTTGACTATGATATTAAAGATAATCTTCCGATTTTAAAAAAAGAAATGAAAAAAGGACATTATAATAAAAAAGGGAGTCAAAAAAAAACAAAAAAAAAAAGTTTATACAATAACTTCCGGTATACGATGCCAAATTTAGGTTGATTTAGTTTAATAAGGAGCTTTTTTGATAACGAAATTTCATATATATATACAACGATGTAGAATGCTCTCGTCTCTCTTAATTTTCATAATTTACACTTATTTTCTTGAAGAAAATAAAAAAAAATTTTACTGATAAAGTCGTTATATATATCTTATCATCCATCCTTATTTTTTTTTTTTTGACAAAAAAAAAAACGTTACGCAAAATGAAGTTGCTCACGAGTGAAAAGAAAAATCATGCTTTCACTCCAAAGTATAAACCAAATTTTAAACAAATAGAGAGAGAGAAACGCATATTTTTAAAAGAATTTTCTTCGAAATACGGTTATAATGGTAAAATCGATCAAATCCGGGAAACTGAATATCCACAATTGAACAAATGTGTATACCTTGATCATACGGGATCAACCGTTTTTGCGAAAAGTACTGTAACGAATTTTATGAATGATCTAACGAATAATCTTTATGGTAACCCCCATTCGAATTCACCCAGCTCACAAGCAAGTTCAAGGAGAATCGCAGAAGTTCGAAAAAGAATCCTTAAATTCTTTGATACGAATGAACAAGATTATTCAGTAATTTTCACTCAAAATGCCACTGCATCCGCAAAATTGGTCGGTGAAATGTTCCCTTGGTCAAAAAGGAGTAGTTATAAATATTTAAGAGAATCTCATAACAGTATTAATGGTTTGAGGAGATTCCCCGAACAGATTGACGCCGACTTTCAAACTGTAACGGAAGATGAGGTGAATTCAATGATTAAAAACAAAAGCTTTTTCATGAATTATAATGATTTTAAAGAAGATGAAGAAGATGAAGAAGATAAACTAACGTATAACCTTTTCGCATATCCGGCGCAATGTAATTTCTCCGGGATGAAATTTCCTTTGGAATGGAGTCAAAAAGTCAGAGAATTAAATACGGAAACTTCAAAAACTTTGGTCTTGTTAGATGCGGCAGCTTACGTTCCAACGTCTAAACTTTCTTTGGCAAAGAAAGACGCATCACCAGACTTTGTCATACTTAGTTTTTATAAAATATTCGGATTCCCAACTGGATTGGGAGCCTTGATCGTCAAGAATGAATTGGAACCAATTTTAAAGAAGGGGTACTTTGGTGGTGGCACACGTAAGTTAATTCTTTTTTTTAAAAAAAAATGATAAATCTCGCTAGGATTCTTTAAAATTAACCGGAAATTATCTTAATTTTTTCTTTCAGTTAAGACAGTCATTCATAACGTACCATGGCAAACATTTCCCCACGAACTGGTTGTACGCTACGAAGATGGCACAGTAAATTTCCAAAACATCATCGCATTAGATTATGCATTTGATTCGATGGAAAGATTGTTTAAAGGTTATAAAAATATATCAAATCATGTACAGTGCTTAATAACATATCTTAGTAGATCCATGGCATCTCTTCGTCATTGGAATGGAGAACCTGTTGTTTCGGTGAATTCCGATAGAGATTTTTCGGATAATAAACAACAAGGTGGTGTGCTCAGTTTTAACATAACGCGATCAGATGATGAAGCGGTTGGGTATCTACAAGTTGAAAGGTTGGCAAGTATGAATGGAATTCACATTAGATCCGGTGGTCTTTGCAATCCTGGTAGTATATCAAGATGGAATGATATCGATGTTGAAGAATCTATTCAAAATTTTGTGGTAAGACGCTTTTAATTTTTTTTTTTAAAAAAATTTAACCTTTTTCTCACGTTTTTATTATGTATATATATATATATTTTAGCACGGTAAAGTTTGTGGTGATGAAAATGACATATTCAATGGGAAAACATATGGCGCGGTTCGTTTATCCATAGGCGCAATGACGACTATTGATGATATTTTAATATGGTTGGACTTTTTTAGGAAGTACTATGTTGAAAAGAAACCTTTAAGCAAAGGCAAGAAATTTCTTATAAAGTAGGTGGTTGGACTTAATGAAGATACCTTTTCCATCTTCAAAATAGATATATATATATATGTATTTTATTTGATTTTATACAATAATATAATAATAATAATAATATAATAAAATTATATATTAATAATAATAATAATTTAAATTAATTAAATAATAAATAAATATAACCGTAAAGTCCTTTATTTTTTTTTTAAAAAAAAAAGAAAAAAGAAAAAGAAAAAAAAAAAGGAATAAATTTAAAAAGCAGAATTGTTTTATATTTTTCTATTTGTTAATATGTGCGAAAAAAAAAAAAGTTCAATTGATCAAGCTTTTAAACAATGTGTTTAAGTCTATTGTCATCGTTTGAATCATCAGCCAATTTTTGTAATTCATCATTATTAAATCCAAAGGTTTCCTCCCTCCCTTTACGTTTATCCTGTTGTTTAGAGGATCCATTGGCATTTGTCCTTCCAACCGATGATCTATTTGGCTCATCCGGTTTGGTTATGAGAATATTTCTATTACTTGAATCATTTTGTTTTATGCTTTGATACCCGTCTCCCCTATTATTGAACCTTTGATACTCTTCATCAATGCCATCATCATTGAACAAATCGATTAGAATCTCCCTTGGAATGCACATGGTGATACCGGTCACCAAGATACCCAAAAACATTAACCACATGCATATTAAATTTGCCAAACGAACTTGACATACTGTTCGTAATTTTGGATCTTTATAATCATAATTTGATGGACAGTAGAATGGGATGTCCCCTAATTCGTTTATCGTGTAAATCGTGTATACGACTAACAAAGGATAGATGGGGGATTGAGAACTTTCTTATATTTAAAGGAAACAAGTGATGAAACCGAGACGAGGTCACCTACTTGGAATGTTTAACCATAATACGGTAGCAAAACTAAATGAAGATAAAGATAAATTAATAATGGTAACTCTGTAAAATCAATGGATCGATGGAATTAACTTTCTTGGTACCCGAATTCCTTGCTCAAATCTTCTCTAGCACAGAAGCAGCAGCAGCAGCAAACGACGAAGGCAAGCACTGTAATGAACATTAATAGTTTCGTTTAGTCGAGGATTTTCGCTGCGCCATGACGCAACCGTGTCATGTTACACAACCCACCACTTATATAATATACTTACAAAGTTGAAAACATGTAAGGCTGATATACCTTTTAGAAAAAGAGAGAGAAGATTTGATATTAAATATTACAATGATCAATCGAATTCAACTGACGAAATCTTTTCACTTACGTATATTCAACATATCGATTATACGGAATGTCAAACTCATTAAAATATTTTAATTTGAAATATTCTAGAAACAATTTGAAGCGATATTAATCATTTTTTTGGGGGAGGACATCCTTCCAATCAACGATCCAAAAAAAAAAAATAAAGAAAGAGCTATTTCATACCAAGTGTAGGACAAATAACAATTAAAGGAAGTTCAGCAAACATTAAGCAAAAAACGCAACTCAGTATGGGACATGCTAAAATCCTTTTTAACGACATTTTTTTTAATTATATCCTAAAAAAAAAATTTGTTGACAATTTGAGAAATGAAGGGCATATTAAACGATGAGAAGTTTAAATATGCAAATGGTAACTAAATTATCGAGGAGATCTTGGATAATGCAATTTTTAATCAATAAATCAAATAAAGCTTAGTTTCGTTTGCGCCAAATATCAAATCTTTCCATAATCGGTCATGTTCTACCTGAAACATTTAAACGTGATTACATGCATCACACTAATTTGGAAAGCGCACTATCTTTTTTTTTATGTGTTGAAAAAAAATGACTATCATGTAATGTTATTACCTTTTTTGTAAGGTTTAAGATCTCTTCAATTATTATTCAAAGGTTCTCCTGATAAAAAAAATCATTTTTCCATTTTGCAAAAATTAATCATTATCTGCTTTATTTTCATTCTCTTAAAAAGATGCAGCGATACATTTTCTTTTTAAAATTGGACGTTACTTTGTTCTCTTATTTTGAAAGGTTGCAGCTTTGATTACGCATAATAACTCATCACGTGTGCTGTCAAATTGATGATCATGTTCAATTATCTTGACAATGGAACCCAAATTGTCTTAAAATGGATATTGGTTTATGTAAGGAAAAATTTATCTTCCATCCAAATTCAGGAAAAGATTATATTTAAAGTAAGCTTTTCACTCGCTCTTCTCACACACAAATCAAGCCACACCTTCAACTTGTTTCCCTTCTTTCTCTTCACCTTCCCAACTTTTATTATGAACGTTATCAGATTGATCATTATTTTGAAAACCCAGCCATTCATCTATTTTATGATTAGGAATGTTATCTCGTATGGCAAAACACAATGAAATGGAGAACATCAACCACATACAGATCAAATTAGAAAGATCGATTATGCAAACGTTGTAAAGTTCTTTTGAAGGATAAGGATAATTTACCGGGCATAAAAATGGATTGGGACCCAAATCATTAAATGCAAAATAAGTATATATGGCTATAGGTATTGAACGGAAAGAAGAAATGTCATGTGATTATTTAGGAGTTGGGCGTTTGAAATGTGAACGTTAAAAGAAAAGGCTTACGTGGAATTATTAACCATAGTAATGTTGAGATCCTTTGTTATTAAAAATAATGAGGATGTAAATAATAATGCTGAACGATCTATGATATGGATGATAAAAAAATCTAACCTGGACTGCCATTTTATTATCCCAAGATTTTGCAACCGATCATGTATACACGTAAATAAACATGACGAAACTATAGTCATTAAAAAAAAAATCAATGGAAATTTTATTCCTTATAAAAAAAAAAAAATTTTTCTCATAAAATAAAATACCAAGTTGACAAAGGGTAAGAGCAAGATAGAAGAGTTCCATAACCCAATTAAGGGGAAGATCATGTTTAAGCAACAAAAAAATTTTCATGGATTCTAATGACATGATAAATTTTTGTTAATTTTGTTAAATCATTCTCGTTTGTTTTTTAAAAAATTTAATATCTCGTTACCAAATACAGCACAAATGATGATTAAAGGAGTTTGAACCAAACACATAAAACACATAAAACACATGTAACAAGTGAACAAACGTGCCGTGATAGTTTTCACTATATTCATCATCATTCTTCAAAGATTTTCTAAAAGCAAGAAAAAAAGAAATTATATTTTTTTTTCCTACTTTTTTAATATTTTCCCGAACGCCACAATTTATTATGTAAGTTTCTTTTTCTATAGATAAAAATAATTTACAATATTTTGATATCACGTGACATGCACAATTAAATCCCCCCTTCTCGTTCTATGCTTTTCCTTTTTCGCCATAATTCTCATCATCATCCTCCTTAGGAGTGAGTAATTCAGGAAGCACCGTCCAAATCCACGCAAGCAAAATGGAAATTGAAGTTATCCACATGAATACCAAATTCGTCGTTCTTATTTGACATACTGAACGAAGTTGAGGAAATTTATAATCATAATCCATTGGACAAAAGAATGGAATTGTACCTAATTCATTAATTGTTCGTGCTAAATAGATAGCTATTGCAAACACGTAAGAAAAGTTTATAAATTTCAAAGGAATAAAAAAAAACACGAAAAAAAAATACTTACTTGGAATAACTATCCATAAAGTCCCAAAGACGCTAAATAGCGATATATAAATATATCAATTTTAAACCAGGAAGAAGATTATTATTATTATTATTATTATTTTAAATCATGAAGTTAATACCTGATTTGACAGTTTATTAATGCTTTATTTTCAATACAACAACAACAGCAGCAAATCATTGTCAACGAAACTATTTTAAAAGGAAAATATAATAAATATAAATAAATATTTATAAATATATTAACATTGTTCTTTTTTTAAAAAAAATAAAAAGAAAAAAAACTTATTGATTTTATATTTCATACAAAACTGGAGAAAGATAAGGAAATAATACCTAATAATAATAAAGAAAAATTATCTAAATCAAAGCTTTTGTTTGTGATAAATAGAAAAGGTTAATGCTTACAAGTATTCAATGGTCATATTAAGAGGAATATGGTATTTACGATACGTTGCGATCTTTGTATTTTCTGATAGAATTCAATGGAAATATTAATAATCATAATCATAAAAGTCTCTTCTATTTAAAGTATATTAATTTTTTTTACCAAGGATTGGACAAATAATGAATAATGAATATTGTAATAAACAAAAGAATGACCAATGAGAAAAACTTTCTTGAATGAAATTTTTATCCGTTCTTTTTTTGGATCCCATTATTGTCAATATCCTTGAGACTTATGATGATGTTAGGAGAGAAGACTTTAAGGCACGGCATTCATTATTTTTTATTTATAAAATAAAGGAAAAAAAAAACATTATTATGATTCGTTATTATTGGCGACAGCTTTCAGGGTATTTGTGTGTATTGATTGTGGTTTGGCAACCAACTAAATTTTAGCCACACTGTAAACGAAATTCACATGACACATGCTTTTATTTGCCATAAGCCCTCTTGAAATAAATATTATAATGGCGAAGCTTTTTTTCTTTATTTATATAAATAAATGTAAAGAATTCGTTTTCCTCCTCTTATGATTTAATGGAATGTTTTTTTCCTGCAAAGCTGAAGTTAAAGATGGTTTGCGATTTATGGCATAACTTTCTTTTAATCAACATAAAAAATTAGCGAGGAAAAAAAAAAGGTGTTGATATTAATTAATTAGCAAGTTTAATAAAAATTTTAGATTCTAATTAAAACGTTCCCGTCAGATGCTGCATAATTTTCATAAATTGAAGGTTAAACTGATATGAACCAAAAATTTAATTTCTATGAAAGTTTTTTTTTAATATAAAATAAAAAAAATAAAAAAAAATTATAATCTGCACTATGAAATTTAAGCTTGTCTTCCTCTAGTTTCAATAGGTAACATAAATATAAAGGCTGCTAATAAACCAAAAACAAGAGAAGTCACATATAAAGGTGCGGAAGCACCAATCGAAATTAAGTTCCCAGTAACAATAGGAGCGACCATACCGGTTCTGTAAACCAACAAAAAAAAAAGTTTATCACTTTGCCTAACTTGATGAAATCGCATCGTTATAATCGTTACTTACATTCTAGCAAAAACAGAAGAAATTCCACAAGCGGTTCCCCTAACTTTAGTATCAAAAACCTCGGGCGTATAACAATAAATCACGGCCCAATCAATAGATTTTAAAAGTCCAATGAACATGGAAAATAAGATTACATCAGAAGTATCATGAAAATTTGCAAACAAACATATTGATAAAGAAGTTCCGATTGCACCTAAAATCATGGTACCTTTTCTACCCAATGAAGTTTCAATTAAATAAGAAGAAATTATTGCACCGGGAATTCCCCATATCGAGTAAATTATAAAATTTTTCAATCCATTTCTAATTATTTCACTTTCGTCATTATCTCCTAATTTCTGTTCTTCTAAACCTTCAAGATACTTTGGTAAATAAAGAAAAAACATTACACTACCAAACGATATTAATCCCCACGAACTCCATAAAAGTAATGTCGTTGATAACCATTTTTTACTGAATAAATGTTCTATATCTTTAAATTGTGAAATTAATCTTTGTTTAAATTGTAATTGTTTGTGACTGGATTTACAGATCTTGATATCATCAAGAAAATCAATATCGAGTTCATTTCCATTAATTCTTGCAATTTCTTGGAACACAAGAATTGCTTCCTGATGTCGATTATGTGAGATTAAATATTTTGGCGATTCTAAAAGTCTAAAGAACAAAATTCTAAGAATTAACATGACTAGTATCTAGAGGAAAAAAAAAAAAGGTGAGTCAAAGATATCTATCTCAATTCATTTAATTTAAGAAAAAAAATAAATCTTACACATGTCCCGAGTATTACAATTACGTATCTCCAACCATTATTTTCTTTAGAAACATCACATATTGCTATTTGGTCTTCATTTCCAAGACAACTATGTGAAGGTAAGATTAGATATCCAATAAAAGATGTAAATGCGGCTCCAATTTCGAAAAAGACTGACGAATAAGTAAGAAGATATTGATTCTCTTTTGGTACAAATTCCAAAAATATCGCTCCTAATCGATTAATAAATAACATGAAATAAGAAAGGATTTCAACGAATATTCTTGCGTGAATAATATAAAAAAGTTTTTTTATTTATATATACCATCTACCGGTAAATTTCCTCCAACGCCAAAGCCCAGCATGCCAAACATAAAACATAATTGAGCAAAACTTTGAGATAAACTTGCACAAAAACCAAAAAATACTGCTACTCCCAAAGTCCAACTAAAGGCCTGCTTACGTCCATAAATATCTGAAAATAATCCCCAAAATAAAGCTCCAATCATCATTCCAAAATATTGAGAACTTGAAAGTAACCCGATAATTGAATTTGGTACTTGAAAGTGAACTATAATATATTTTTTTTTTTATTATTTTTTTTAAAAAAAAGAGATTAAAAATAAGAAATGAAGAAAGTAATTATTTTACCATTTAAAAAATTTTAAACACCTTGAACCCGAGGTAATATGATTGCTACACACTAGAATTATTGATAAAATTGAGAAACGTTTAAGAAATCATATGATAAAATTCTAGAATATCTTACCAATATCCATAACTGAATGAAAGACAAAAAAGATTCAGTAAATTTATTTTTATAAAAAAAAAAAATAATCAATATATCAATCACATACGGCATCCGAAAACCATCCAAATCCACAAAGTATTAATAATCTTCTTTGAAATCTTCCCATTCCAATTTTTGAAATAATAATATCAAGGCCTTTATGTTGTTCATCTATTAACAATTCAGAATTCACGTCATCATTTTCCTCATCAACATCAAGTCGATGTTGTTCATTTCTTTTGTCGTTATCATTTGAAATAGTAGTAATAACATTATTATTATTTAAATGTGTAAGGCAATCCTCCTCCTCAGAAGTACGAAAGTTCTTTGTTGTCGAATCCATTTTTTTTTTAAAAAAAAATAAATAAATTTTTGTTTATTTTATTTTATTTTTTTTTATTTATTATTATTTTTTTTTTTTTTTAGCAAACAAAGTGCTATTTACATGGTGCAAATACAATTTATAATTATATTATTATATATACGATACGAAGTATAGTTAGTACCATGGCAATGGAAATACGAAATTGTCCTGTCCGCCGTATATGATAACGAGTTCACAAACAAGATATTTATTTTCAGATCACACTATATTTAAAAGGGAAATTTATTAAAGAAATTTAAACGCTTAATTCTGAGAAAATAAATGCCTAAAAAAGTTAAAACTTATTTTGTTTATATAAAGTCAATCTGTAGATCATTCCGAGCGTAAATCTTAATTTTTTGACAAATCATCGCTTTTGTTTGTGATGGGATCAAGATTTTGTCTTATCTGCCACAATGTCGTCATTAATTCTTTTGATTTATCACATTGTATTAACGTATTTAATCTTGTGAGTAATTCATTATCAAGAATTTTCAAGTCTTCTGATATTCCATCAGGAATGTTTGTTTGATTTTGACCAAGCTTTTTAAAAACCGTTATTAAATCGTTCATGTTTCCCATCAATCTATTTGTATTAAACGATAGGTCGTTGTTCCAAGATTGAATCATCCTCTCTTTTTCCGTTGAGCCTATTAAAGAATTGGTAATAGACTGTGTTGAACTTGTATCGTTTATTGCAATTGGATTTTGTGCTGAAGTTCCTTCGTTCATTGCTGAACTTGTCCCCACTCCAAATGCACATTTATCAAACCCTGCAAAAAAGTTCATACGGGGATCAAAAAGGTCATCATCATCCTCATCTTCACTATCGGAATAATTCTCATCATCTATAAGATCATCTGATTGCAAAGGAAATACCTTCCTATGCTTCTGCTTGTGCAACCCTTTAAGTGCCTCTATACGCGAGTTTAACCGAACGTGGGGCATTTCCCAATGTTCCAAATTATTAAAATAGCTTCTTGTTCTCGGCTCTTGTCGCATCCAATTAACGACTTTGATGGCTGCTCGTATATGAGAACATGCACCTCCACGAAGAAGGAAATTAAAACAATGACAACTTATTAATGGTGCAAGACAAACGATATAATAATCCATATTTTTATTACTTGGAACATATTCTGGATTCTTTACATCGCATTGAATTCTAACGAAAAGATATTGTCCATTAAATTCGATGAATTTAATTTTTTCTTTGATTAAAAATAAATTTGCTTCCTCTTCCTTTCGTGGATCTAAATCATCAAATGCAATGGTATTGATATGATGATCAAACAAAGCTCTTACGACGCCTTCTTCAAATTCTTCTTCTTCCTCCTCTTCTGATTTTGATTGTCTTTTCAGTATATCATCAATGTTATTCCAGAGGTCGCGTTGAATATGACAAATTGGCGTAATGCATTTGACTAACATAACGCCCAAGGCATCTAATCGTAAAACGTGTCCTTTTCGTTGAAATCTTAATATACGTTTTGAATTGAACTGACTTCGAAAACCTTCCAGGTATTCCGTTGTCCACGGCATAGAATTGACATCGATATCTAATATATCTGCCGCTTTTTTCCTGCCATAAAATGTCCACATATGCATTAATTCATTCACCCAATCGTTTTTTAAATACGTAATGAATTCCAATTGTCCATCATATAACGCTAATATCTTCGTATTTATCAAACAAATCTCATTATACCGATCCTAAAAATCACAAAACTGACATTAAAATAAAAATCTTATGATAAATAAATGTTATAATTTGTCACCTTTATGAATTTTTCCGTTTCTTGAATTTTAATTCGAATTTCATGTTCGTTTGTACATTGTTGTAAGCTGTGAAGGTTTAAGAATTTATTATTATAATATTTAACCTTGAGTTATAAAAAATAAAACAAAAAATAAGGTATAAACGTACTCGATTATCATATCGTTTAGAAATTTCTTCATATCTATACGATGTCTTGTGAGTTCATTATCCCCAACATTACCCAATAACTGATCTATTTTATTTGTCCAACACTGATGCACTTGAAAAGGTGAAAACACAAGATAAATACAGGGCCAAACTTCGGAGCATGCAAGTCGTTCTTTAAAACCAAAATCAATTATAGCAACCTGTTAAAAAAAAATTATTATTATTATAATTATTTCCTAAGAATTTTTTTCTTTTTTTTTTTTTTTAAAAAAAAAATGTTACCTTAGGAGCGAATGATTCACCAGTTTCTTGACTCAATAAATTTTTATACGTTTCCAATAGATGTCTCAATATTCCATATTCGTGATTAGAGGCTACCATTAAATCCGTGTGACAAGGCCTTGAGAATAAAAGATAACCGACCGGTATTCCTCTTTTATATTCATCAATAATCATGATGACATACATCTGTAATTTCCTGCTACCTGTCTGGAAGGACCCATCTAATACTATATATTTTTGATGCCCATACTTCCATGCCTGCAAACGTTGCTCTTCCGTCGCCAATATTAAAAGTGTATAATCGTAACGATTATCCCTTGGTTTATAATAAATAGTAGCCTCTCTTAAATCCGCATCCGAGGAATTTGAACCGAATAATTCTCGTAAATTATGTTCAACGGAACGACCAGCATCAAAGTCCCATTGAGGTTGAGGATGACTCTTAATCCAACGTCTAGCATCTTTGACATCAAATGCTGTTATCACGAAATGTTCATCTTTACCTTTTAAATCATTTCTTAAGATTAATCTCCCACCCAATTGATGCCTCACAAGTTGTTGATTAAGCGACAAAATATCATTGGTTGACGCATTTGTTCTAATTAATAATTCGGTCATATCTCTAATATCACAATTGATGGAAATTTTCGGAGCATTTTTCTTTGGTAAAGAACGGTGACACGCTTCTGAATGATCCAAATAACCATGAACCCTTTTAAAAACTTTTTTATCAACATCGATTTCCAACCTTACAAAAGCCAAGCAACCATTAAATTCATATAATTGCCTGACAGGTCTCTGTTTTTGTATAGGTGTTTTACTAGCAGCTTGCATATCGGAACCACAACTACATTGATAAAGGGTAGCACCATTTTTTTTATCACTCCAACGTATCTTCCATCTGTTTGTGGGATCTCTATTAGCAGAATTTGTTGGATCAACCAAATCAACGGGAATTCCTTGATAAATTATATATTCCTTTGCATTTTTTTGATCTTCGGCAGACTCATTCCAAATTTCCGTGGTAAAAATTTCGTTACCAGGAGAATCCGATATGGAAAATAAATAATTTAATTGATTACGTTGTTTTTCTGTCAAGATTAATTTACTAGTTTTTGGTTTTGCATTTAAACGAAATTTATCTTTATGATAATATTCATGAGCCATCATGTTAAATTTAAATTAGAAAAAAAAAAAAATTATTATATATATATTAATACATTAATTTTTTTTTTTTTTTTTTTTTTTTTTGATACTTAGAAAAATGATTAACCGAACCGAAGAAAAAATGGAAGTATGAATATTTATAAAATTTTCACATACTGACGTAGATCAAACCCTTGTTCAGTTAAAATTTCCCTTTTCAGAAATTTTGAATGGCAGAATTTGGTGCCGTGATGAGATAGTATTTATGTCATTGGCTTTTTAATATTTGAATAGGATTAACACCATTCAAAGTTTCACAAAGGGTACAGGGGCTTTTACCTAATTGGGACAACTTCGGTGTAATTAAGTTGCCATTTAAAATGTTATTTTTACGATGATTGGGACACAAGTAGTTCAATGCGGTTTAGTTAGTATTTTCATTGAAGCAAGTTTCGGTGCAATAGAAATCGTTCTTCATAATCTATTGCACCAAGTCATCCTGAATTTGGAAAATTCTCTTAAGCTTGTATAAGGATTATGTAATGGTGGTTGTAATTTTAGAAATCAAAACTTAAAATGATTGATTGATCATCATCTATTGTCGAGAATGATTTTAACATACCTTTTTCGCCAAAAAAATAAAATATAGTAATAATTCGCAAATATTTATTCTCGTTTCCTTTCGCTTTTTATTTGTAAATGTTATATTATTATAAGAGAACTCGTTATTTCACGAGAAGATGATGCAATTTTTTTATTGAATTGGCTTGGAAAATAAATATTTACATTTGATCTGATCACGTGCATGATTCTTGCGGAAAACACTCTGGCTAACGAATTGGTATTTGTAAGTTTAAATATCTGATTAAATTCAATAGCAAGGGAAAACCAATCGTCAAAAAAATAAAAATATTTAAAGAAAAGCGGTTAAAAAAAGTTTATCTGTTCAAAATACCCCGATTCAGACCATATAGATTTAAATTTGGAATACCATAGTAGGAATATACGGTATGATTGATTCATTTGTTTGTTTACTTCAAAATTGATTGTTAATTGAAGCAATCACCGTGTTTCAAAAGTTACGCGCATCTAAAATTTTTATTCAACAAACAACAATTTCTTATGACTAAGCCCTGAGAATGCAGATCATTCCAAATCCTGTATATTTTGAGCTACTTCATTAGCTCCGAGTCGTTTTTGTAAGGTTCTCGGCCCTTGTTTGGATACTTTTTGATAAATATATAATGATGTTCTTATTCAAAGTAAAAGATGATGTTTACAAGAATTTATTCTTCTTTAATTGCCTGTTTGTGTCTTATACTTTTAATTTTATTTATGGGCTGAGATTAATATTTATGCGGCTTAGAACTATGAGACAGGAGTTGGTGTTAGGTATAAACAATTTCAAGTCTATCCCTTAAAACATTGTGCAACAATTTTTTTTACAACGCGTTTTATAGTTTAGTATCAAATGGATATTACAATAATTCACGTACCTTTTGGAAAATGAAACGCCCGGTGAAATGATTCAATATGCGTACATCATGATTCTAATTTTTTATATATATAGATTTATATATTTCATTTTTATAATCATGCGAAGTTATAAGAAGACTGAATTATCTATGCAATTGCTATTAAATACTAATACTTTATAAAATTTAAATAGCGATTACAACATTAAGTAACCCTTTTTGAACCTTTGTTACCTGGCTCGACATCCTCTGTGGTCAATAAGATTGATGTTTGCTGGTATTGTACATCGCTGGTGGCTGTTGCTCTGAACATCCGCATGGATGCCTCGAGCGCATATTTTCTGGTTATTGGGGTGGTCATGATCCGCCGTGGTTGCTCTGAATAAATAGCAGGTTTCAAATTGCAAGCGAATGTCATCATCTTGGAGTTAATTTTTGACAATATTGGAAATTTTACGTCCTTTTGTTCAAATTTTGATACGCGATTTAAATTACATATTATGAATTGTATAATAAATAAAAGTAAAGACGAATATTTAATAAACACAACCATCACCTTTTTGATATAAAAGAGTCTATGTATATGCAAGAGTAAAGTTGATTAACTTCCAAACAATCGGTGATGAACATCCATAAAAAAAAAAAGAAATTGTGCCCAAACCTACATCATTCACATTTCGAGACGGGCAAGTGTTTTTTTTTTACCGGACATTTTGTTTATGCACTTGTTCGATTTTTGGACATTCTTTCTTCTATAAGACCGATATAAGCAAAACGTTCACAAGTATGAAAATCAGGTTTTGAGAACTTTAAGACATTTGATTTAATTTAATAACATAAATATCAAAACCATCATCATGTGATTTTCATCGATATTCAGATTAATCATTTCAGATAAAAAAGTCATTTTAATGATTCAAATCATTCGAATTGATTCGAAATTTTGTAATTAGAGTAAAAATAATTTAATAACAATTCCTATCAATGCGAATGATTCGAATCTAGGATCGATTTGTATTGTGAAGTCTGAAATATCAAAAAATCTTTACAATATATACAATTTTCACGTGATTTGCGCTTCCTGATTTGTATATCGTGCCATATTTAGAGCATTTTGATGTTTATGGTCGAGGAACAGCCCGAGGAGGAGGATATAGCATACTTGGTAAAAACCATATCAAAAAGACCAACTCGGGTAAAAACGAGTATTAACTCGTATAATGTTTAATTCGAGTTATACGAACATCGCCAATAGAAATTTTAATTTCTGATCGGATAAATTCATGCTAGTAAGTAGGGTGCAGTGATGGCAAAATGATCTCGTCATTTAAAGAAATTATATCATGTGATCTTATAATTCTGGTTAATATTACTATCTTATTAATTTTAACTTCACATTAAGATTAAATTTGGCCAATACTGTAAATGACTTAAATGACCAATGACCTTAAATGACCAGGGGTCATTTAAAGGTCATTTCCAAAATATTCAAGTGACTGGTCATTCGCCATCACTGATTCCACTGATTCTTCGAAATTAATTCACCTAATTCATCTGCTGCTCTTCTTTCTTTCTTTAATATATTTTCATTATGTCATAATTTTAATCCATCTTCAATATTTCTTTAATTAATAATATCAGTAAAATTATGTTATGAGAATTTGTTAAACGAAATCTAGATGTGGATTTCATTCTAGTTAGTTCTCAGAACCAAAATTTCCTAGTATCCCATATTAGCAATCAGTATGAAGCAATTTTTCAGTCTTATGTTTTCCCAAAATGTTGTAGGCATTATCAAATAATGTTAAATAAACCTAGATTAGATTTTGACATGACATAATAATTTCGATACATAATGTCCAATTAATGGTAGAAATTTAATATTTTAATCTTTCAAGATATTAAATCCTTTTATGAATTTTCTTTTTTTATTATTCAAACCAGTTAATTTTTCAATTGTTTTGCATGTAACTAATTGTTACATAACAAGTTTCAAAGTATATTTTAATTCATATTTTTAAAGAACTTAATTGATGCACTTTTCGATTTTCCATATAACTTTTTAAGTTCGTGAGAACTTTTTTGTCAAACAGCTAGCACATTCATTTTTTTTTCTATTTAAAACAGTCTACTCCACTAAGGGGTCACGGAAAACCCTAATCTCTCATTTTGGCAAAAAGTTGAACCTTTTCGAAAAAGTTAGTTTCGATGGATTTCAGATGAACTAGTTAATTGTTTAACCGGTTAATTAACCGGTTAAGACGTTATCTTGTTAACCGGTTTAAAGAATTTTTTTAACCGGTTAAAATAGTTAATCTTAACTCTGGCCAAAATTTAATTTTCGGGCAGAATTAAATTTTCTGTGATTACAAAATTTCGCTAGTTTTGCCCAAATTTATCGTACCGAACTGATCAGCCGAACGTACCGGTTTTCCTCCTCCCTGGGGTTTACCAATCAACCTTAGTGATGATTGATTCTTCCAAAAATTTATGCATTTGACAATAGAAAATAACTGCTATTTGACAAATTTAGCTTCAATTAATACGGTATTTTTATTGAGTCAAATTTTTTTTTCTTAATAAAAAGCTATATTTTTTTCTATAGATTTTACATGGTTTGATCATGTGTTAATTTTTAACAAATGATTTTAACATCTACACAGTACGTCATAAATTTCTAATTTTTTTTTTTTTTTGGTACCAATCATTATTATTCCTGAATTATTTTCGCTATTATCAACATGTTCTTTTAAGATACTCATCCACAAACCTCAATGAAAAAAAAATATCATAAAAATTTGATAATTTGTGAAGTAATTCGCAATTTTAACTTGCAAAAATGATCGATCGTACGGTACGGTAAAATTTCAAACATTATAATCGTACAGAAAAAAAAAATTTAAAGAATTAAAATATACAAAAAAAAAAAATTAAATAAATGCTTGATACAACCTAGTCAAAAATTGTTTGCGTTTTTTTAACACAAACCGTTTTTCTTTCGGATTGGCCCGACCCGACTCCCGCTCCCGCCCCGATTGAAAATTTTAAGCAACTTGAGTCACAATCTTTCATAATTAAGTAATTTTGAAATTTTTGAAAAAATTGCCAGCACTTTACTTTGAAGCAGAAATATCTTCCGATCAACTTTCATATAGAGCATTGTCAGATAATATTACGGTCTAGATCACGCTCATATACTGTATGTTACATTTGTTTTATAACTTATATTTCCAATGTCTCAGCTTATGCTAAAATATATTTTTCAAATATGGACATGATGAAGAATGATTTAAACATATCGGAGTTGTAATGAAAAATCACTTTATAATGATAGCAAGGTTAATTAAGGTGAAGAAGAAGGAGGAAAACAAGTAAATGATCATGAAATACATTTCGTAAGGAATTGATATTGTTTACATCATTGTCAAAAATGATTTAATTAGTATTAAGAAACGTAATCTCTTATATAAAGAAAATTATTTAAAGAATTATCATTATGCCAATTTTTTGCTACGCCACGTCATCGCTCCACACTACAGGTAAATACTCAATTAAGCTAAACTCAAAACTATTATCGAACGTTTTTCATTTTTTCAACTTTTAAACTTCAAATCCCTGAATCACATTGCCTGCATTGTACGATCGAAAAATCATCAAGTGCAAATCAATTAATTTATTTCACAGTTTAATTAATCGCGAACTCGACAAAATCAACGCACTAATTTGAAAAATATATATTTTTTTATTATTAGCGATTTAACAAATGGAAACTATTTTATGAACATAAAGACTATTAAAAAAAAATTGACGATTCGAAAAAAGAAACCTGTAGTTTTTCAAAGAGGTTTAGATTAAAAGATAAAACCATTTCACATGCCATTTGTGTATAATATTTTCCTAATTTAAAAGTTCGATATTGATCGCCCTCCGCCCTTTATCATCCCTATGACTTTTTGTGTGACGATCGAATTCTCACATATACACCCCAATCCCCCCAAAATTTGAATCAAAAAGTAAAAAAAGATATTACTTTCTTCACGTGAAAGAACTCCGAGTTTTTCTCAAGACAAATTTCAAAAATATGAGTTTTCCCAATCAAGCTGCTTTGATGATTTCGAAATCGGAATCAATAATTCAACAATTAAGAATCAGTTATCCGAACCTTTCACAATTATTAATACATAATAGGGAAGGTACCGTGGGATTTCTTAAAGCTAATGGTGGGTTGTTTGGATTCTCTCTATCTCATAATTTTCATGTTCCTCACGTGGGTAGCAATAATTATAAGGCGTGGTCAGATTATAAAGATGCCATCGAAAAATACTTGGAAGAGATTTGTGGGCGCGTCATCGCAAAAGATCCTATCAAGAACGTAGAAAGGTCTTTCAGAGAGGAATTAAGAGAGGCAAGGAAGATATTATCAAACGAAATACATCGACAACATTACATTAAATTTCCACTTTGGCCCTCTTCAGGTGAACAAACTACGATGGTCGAGTTAGATACTGGTAGTGTTTACAATCATGGTGCTTACACTATGGTATGGTCCTGTGTGGGTTGGATAAAGGTGACTGATAAAAGACCTCATAGTGATAGTTATATTGCTGAATTTAGTGGAAAACCGGATATAAAATTGTTGGTATTAGATCATGACAGATTGAAGGAGCTGGAGGATGTCGTTAGAAGAGAGGGTATTGAAGCAGGAAAAATAAGAGTGGGTAGGTCTGACTATTTAGCATTAACTTGGGACCAATTGCGTTAAACTTAAGGTTGTCATTTATCGTGTTGAATAATCCATATTTTTGTATCATTTTTATGTAATGAATGTTCGATTATTTGTTCACTTTTTTTTTTTTATTGTATTGTTTCCGGCGTTTGTCCGTCATGTTATTATTTTTAAATGTAAAATAAATAAACTTTGAAATATTTTTTTTTAAAAAAAAATCTACATTGATGAAGAAATAAATTGATCTGTCAAATTTACCGTAAAATTTATTTAGATTTTTCAACGCATATCAAAAATTTACCACAAAGCTTTGCGAAGAAATTGATCAAAATACTGTATATACGCGTTAGTTAGTGCCCAAAATTGTAATTAATGATGCTTGCTGTTGGACCTCTTTTAAAAAACATAGAATTGACTCCATTATTTTCAAATGATAGTCATAACCAAACCAAATTATTAACAGAAAATCAAGTTAAAATTTTATATACAAGATGTGTGACTGAATAATTTATTTAATTTTCTTATGAGGGTCACGACTCAAATCGGAACCGAAAAGTGCATTTTTCCACGGCTGATATCACTGATTTTTAATTTTAAAGATTAAAAAAAAAAACATGACTTTCTCTAAATTTACTTGGAATAGATTAAAACAAATTGAATCCGACACATTTTTTTTTTTAAATTGAAAATAAATAAATGAACCAATTTCCTCGAAAATACTGTCTAATCTTGAAATATTAGCAACCTGTTGTTTGTTTGATTGGATGGGGAGTTGCATGATAATTGAACGTATTATTAGCTGCTGGAACGCGAGATGAACATTTACTAATATTGTTATGAGCCTATATTAGTTCAAACAGATAGACATATTTGCTTTCTACACGCTGCTTGGTATTAATTAATTGTGTCATCGTATATATATTATACATTGGCGAATATCTTTATGGTTTATTAGTGAGAGGTATATTTCGAAGTGTTAATTGAAATTTCGTAAAAATTGTTTTTCCTTTCTTCTTTTTATCGAGTTAATTTGATCAGTTTTGAATTCTGATTATTAGATTAATGGTTACAATATTATGTTTATCAAAGCATGCATGCAAATGCAGGTAGATATTGCATATGTAACGTTACTATATTTCTTGATTTTCTTGTTAAAATACAGTATGGTATGTTTGAAAATTTAATCAGAGTGACTCTTTCGCCATTTTATTCAATTTATTTGATAAAAAAAATGTATCCTCCAAAATATGATGGAAATATACATCCAGATGAATGGATTAATGATTATCTAAGTTATATGAATTTTAAAGGAGGAGGATTTTCTATTAATTTACAATATGCTATATCGTTAGTAGATCCTATTATCAAACTTCCAACTGGAATTGATGACTTCGAAAAACTTCGTAAAGCACTTAAAGAAGATATTTCCTTTACAGTATTTAAAAATACAAATAAAAGAAAACTGCAATTATTAACATACATTCCTGAAAGAGATGGTGGCGAAACTTCAAATTTTATTTCGAAATTTCGCAAATTATGTTATAATGCCGAAATTAACGATATTGAAGAACAAAAGGAGTACATTAATCAATCAATTCTAAATGATTATTTCATAACTGAATTTTTTAAGAGAAAACAAAAAATTGATTCTATTAATGAATTAATTAAAGAATTTGAGGAAATTGTTATGTACGAGACATCTTTAATTAGAAACGGTTCTATTGTAAGATTAAAACATGTTGCTACAGGAAAATATTTAGGTTCAATTAATAATTTATGTTATACAACTGGAAGCAAGTCTCAACTGGTATTTTTACTTTATATATAATATCCTTTATTTTTTATGCTAGATAAATTTATAATTGTATTTATTTAATAAATTTAGGTTTTTGCTAGTAATTATGACTCGAATGCTTTATGGAAAATCACATTTACGAGCGGAAAAGAATTAGCATCATATACCGATACTAATATATATTTACAACACAAAAGTTCTAGCAACTTTCTTGGAATTTATTATGGTTACTATAAATCTCCGGTAACTCAGCACACGGAAGGTAATCATTATTTTTTATTATCTAATATTTTAAAATGGGTTAATATTGATATTTTATTTAATTTAGTAAATTGTTATTCACAAAATCAATGGAAGTTTAATCATAATAAATTGGAAAATTATCAAGGATATTTGAAATCAAATGATACCATTAACCTTAGTATAAATAATTTTAAATATCAACAAGTATTTTTACGTAGTCATGATTTAAAATTTGCTATTGGAAATGATACATTTCAAGAAGTCGTCTGTCATAATGAAAGACTAGGTGGCAGTGATGAGGTATGTGAATTATTTCTTTTTTTTTTTTATTTTAGTTATTTTATTAAAATAAGTTTTATTTCTTTAGTGGTGCATTGAACTTATTAAGTAGATTCAGCAGAATCCAGATGAAGCACAAAAAAAATAATTTTAGTCGCGGAATAAGAACAAATTTATACAATAAGAGTGGGATGTTTTAAATCTTTGCCTTCGATATAAAATCTTTTCCTAATACAGCTATAATTTCCACGTCCAAAATCTAATAGATTTTTTTTTTCAACATTATCATCGGATGAAATTCAAATATATATTTCTTACGTTTTTTGACAGGTTATGAAAATGATTAATTTTTTATTATTCTAAAAATCTAAAATATAGCATAAATAAGATTATGGGAGGTGATGTCCCTTACGCGTTCATATCATCATTATTTGTTGAAGAATTTGGTATTATTGATTTTTAATATTTTCTGATACAAATAATAATCATTATACAATGAGGGTGTAATTTATCATATAAAAATAACAATATTCCTAACCGATATTTCGCGTCATGCATTGTAAGTGGATTCATTGAAAAACAAAATCAAGCCAATGTTAATTTTAGAAAGGACTAAACTAAATGAGAGATTTCTTCAATTTTTATCAATCTACATATAAGGCAAACTTATAGTCTTTAGAAATAAAGTAAAAATAAATTATTGAGTTAGTTTATTATGTTTTTGGCGGGTTGATCTGCAACACGTTTCTGAAAACGGCCAAACGTTAAAATAAATATCTGGGAAAAGTTCAAGTGTTTGTTGACAATTGATCTAAAATTATAATTTTAAACATTTGATCATCCAACAAAAAAGGAAGGAATTTGGTGTCGATTATATTCTATTCGTAATGATTTGTTATGAATCATACTACGGAATAGCAAACAACCATATAATTTTCCGTTTATATTTACCCTCTCCTCCCCTTACAGATTTTTTTCAGATATAAATACGATGATATTCCCCATTCTCAGATCTTCGAAATTCAAATCATCTTTAATAATAATTAAAAATAAAATATAAAATATCACCAATTCATCATGACCATTCAAGTGTCAACGCCAAAACCTTTCGATAGAGACACTCGAGGAGGGTTATCTCAAAACGCTCCGGATTGTATCACTTGTAAACTTCCAAAAGAAACTGTATCATCAGTACTTAAGAATACAATTGGATACAGACATCATCACGCAGAAATTGAATATCTTTTGAAGGACCTAAACCTTGGTATTTATACTTAATCGTTTGTTAATTATTTTGATTTGAAGAACAGTGATTTTAAAAAAAATAAAAAAAAAATTATATATATATATATTTTTCTTTTCAGTTACTGTTCCTTTAGTAGCATGGCGTAATCAATCAGGACAATTTTTGGGTATTGACGATAATCAGTCTGGAACTTTAGGGTTTTCCGATGGTGATCAACACAATAATGATGTGATTCCAAGATCAGAACAACTCTTTTTATTCGTTCCACATTTGGGTAATTAAATCTAATTCCATTTATTCAATTCTTATTTTTTATTTCCGAACGAAGATTAATTTTTTTATTTTTTTATATTTTTTTTGAAAATAAATTAGATTTCTCGAATAAAGCAATTGTGATTGGACACAATGGAAAATTACTTGAGTTTGATCCAATTTCAAATAAAAAATCTTGTAGTTATAACCTTAAATCGCCGACGAAATTCCTTTTGTATTGTTTGAATTTATTCAAAATATATGGCAAAGGTAATCATCAATCATAAAACAAATTATTTTTTAACTCTTAATATCTCGTATACTCACTATATTAATCATTCAAATACCCATCCCAATGCTATATATAGGATTGCAAATCATTTAGCCACTCGCTCATCTGTCAAACAGGTCGGAATACGGGAACTTTTCTTATTAAACACCGACATAACCGCCGGACCGAAAGATTCTTGGTTCGACACGGTATCA